TACTCTGAGAAACAAACAGGGTTTTAGGGGTGCCTGGGTGGCTCAGTTGTTAAGTGTCTGCCTTCAGCTCAGGTCATGATCCCAGTGTCCTGGGATCGAGCCCCGCGTCGGGCTCCCTGCTCGGTGGGAAGCCTGCTTCTCCCTCTCCCCTCCCCCTGCTTGTGTTCCCTCTCTCGCTGTGTCTCTCTCTGTCAAATAAAAAAAAAAAAAAAAATTCATATTTCAGTTCAACAAAAATAGTGTTTATTATTTGTGGTTCTGCTGCTGGATGCTGGAGATACAGTAGTGAACAAGTACATGTATATTTACTTTCAATCCAGCAATTCCACTTGTAGAAATTTACTCTGAATATACACCTCCACAAATACAAAACCATGCAACTTAAACGTACATGTATAGGAACATTGGTTGAATAGATTTTAGCATATCTACGCTAATATTTTGTAACTGTAGAAAAGAATGAGAAAAAAACTCTGTGATTGATATGGAGGAATTTCCAGGATATATTAAGTGAAAATAGCGAAGTATGAACAAGTGTACAGCATGATAGTGTTTGTATAAGAAAGAAGGAGAAATAGAACATTTATATATAAATAGGTAGGTATTCTTTTTTTTTTTTTTTGTCAAAATAGAAAACAAACTTCTAGGAAGGGTAAACCAGATGCTTGCCTGTCGTGGATGCAGAGATGGGAGATGAGGCATCTCTGTCCATTTTCATGTGGTTGGACTCTCAGTCATATTCCAAAATAAAGAGGATGGAAAAAAGCAAATCCTAGTATCATATAAAAACAGAAAGAAATGATCCTAACTGTATATAAAATTGATAACATAACCACACAGAGAAAATAATTAATTCAATCACCTTTGAACTTAGTACTCTGACTCTTTATTCTTAGTAGAATATATCCTGAGGACAGAATTAACTGCAAAGAAATCTTGAGCTTGTTGTTGGTGATAGTATTGCGATTATACCTTTGAAATCCTTTTAAGCATATTGTAGGATAGAGTAAATGAATAAATAAATAGATATTTTGGGGAACTAGTATTTTTCCCTTGGGAGAAAGGAGATGCAAATATTGAATAATAATTATTTGTTGCTTTGCTAACATTTTTACTTAAGGACATAGTTTAAGCTAAATGCATCCAAGAACTGTACTTCTTAGTAAACACATATGATTTCAGTAACCTTTACACGCATGCTACATGTAGTTGAGAATCATTATGTATATAAACATAGCTCTACTGAGAGCTTAAAAAAACCCCACAAAAACCCAGTGTTTTGTTTCATGGTGGCAGGGTGAATCACAAACCACACTTGGTTGGTTGGTTGATTGATTCTAATGTCGGTACCAGTATCTCTAAAAAGTATGAAGCAAATGGATGCAGAAGGGGCAATGCTCATTAGTGTGTTAAGAACTACTGAAATCTACAAATTGCCAGGAAGTCAAGTTAGCCATGTCAGACCCTACAGGAAGAAAATAAGATGGACAGTCCATCAAGGAGGTCAAGTATGATTAGAATCTGCAACTCTTGGGTTAGTAGATTATCCAGGTGAAACCACATAGATTTTAAAAAGTCCACAATATCCCATTTCTTTGCAGAGAATTTCTTATTCCCGCACGTT